CACAATTTCATACTAAATTTAAAAACTATAATTAGTATTTATTCATATATTATATTTTAAAATCAAAGAACTACTAATCAGGATATAATTAAAGAAATAAGAGTTCATGTTGCTTTTAAAATATTTCACCAATTTCTCTAAAGGAAACACTATCTACAGATTTGCATCGAAGCGTTTCTTATGATAGTGATTTTAATCACTGTCAGATATCATCTATACTTGTCCCATCTATGCCTCGTCCACACTGTGCCTCGACCCCACTGTGCTACCGTTTTTTTTAATATATCAAGTCGTNAAATTACGACCATACTAATTTTTATATATCAAGTCCTAAAGTTAATAATAATAAATAAATTGATCAACCTGAATGCATAATTTAAAGCAACTATTGAGATAAATTGTAGTACATTACACATCACTAAATAGAGAATTTCTTTTCTTACATTGAATTAAAATTTATTTCAGAGTTTGTAGTGACCAAGCTTAAAGTAAAATATTTTTAGATTCCTAAATTATCGTAATGTATACAAAAATGTAAAATTTAACTCTACTTCGAATTTTTATCATTTGCTGATCACAAATGATATGTGTTTACTGATGTATATTTGAAGTACTAAACTCATGCAGCCTATGTTTATCCAATATGATTACTTTATATACACCTTAGAATAAATAATAAAATGATAAAAATAAAAAAACAAATAAGTAGTTATTTATAAAATTTTTATTAAAAAAAACACTACAGAAAAATGCTGCATATTATAAATTTATAATATGCAGCATTTTTCTGTTGGTTGTTGTTGTAACTGTTGTTGTTGATTTTGCTGCTGTTTCTTTATTTTACACGTTTTGGCCAAGTGACCTCTGTTCTTACAATAGTTACATGCTACAAAATTTAAAATAAATAATAAATAAGATTGAGAATTTAGACTGTATATTTAACAAATACTATAAGGTTCGATTTTTATATCTGTAATATAAGGAATTTTGATTAAACAATAAATATTGAACGTTCTTTTAAGAGAAGGATAGGAAAATTTGTCACCTTATCATTATCATTGATAATTTGTTTAAATAATTTTTAATTTAAAAGAATTCGGGAAAGCGTAATTATTTTTTTAAACATATTTCATCGTATTATTCATAGTTACTTTTTTGAAAATGAATATTAAACACTATATCAGCGGTTCCCAATTGGTGGTCCGCAGTTATGTTGCTTTGTTGTGATACTTTTATTTTATTTTAGGAAATTATTAACTTTGTAGTAATATGAAATTCCGAGTATTTATAGACTATTGAAACTTGATTATCGCGAAAAAAATAAATAATCAATTTCATAGAAATAAATATCATTATTATCTTCACTATTACACTGTTATTACTATAATTCAGAACGTGAAACCATACTGATTATTTTCTTCTCAGTCATAACTGGTCAGCGATTAGTACCGTGTGTCCTTTTTTATACATTTCATTTCAAAATAAACCAACCATAATGTATCAATGGTTAAAATCTGGTTCACTTAAAAGGCCTACATGTGAAATAGAAGCAGATAATTCTGTGAATGATGTGAATGAAGTTCAGGTAAATAACTCATTCATTTATTTATCAAAAGAACTTTTCTACTTATTAATATGTCGTTAAATGCGTGCATATTATGTATTGCACAAATTATATTTTATAATTTTACAGTTTATCTGTATTTTTATTAATAATATTTCAATAATAAATTTATTTTAGTGTACTGATCAACATAGTACATCTAGCTCTGACTCAAATCGCCGTAATGTAAACTCGAAGAGTACCGTAGGAACTAAAGTGAGAAAGTATAACACTGAATATTTACAATTAGGATTTACATTTGCTGGGACTGAAGATGAACCAAAACCACAGTGTGTTATTTGCTTGGAGATCTTGTCCAATGAAAGTATAAAACCTTCCAAATTACGACGCCATTTTGAGACAAAAAATGGCGAATTTACTAGTAAGTCTTTGGATTTTTTTGTAGCCAAGTTAGGAGAATTTAAAAAATCACAAAAAGTGATGAAATCTTCGACAAGTTTAAGTGGTAATAAAAAAGCCACTTTAGCTTCATACGAAGTCGCTCAACTTGTTGCAAAATCTGGTAAGGCTCATACCATAGCCGAAGAACTAATTCTTCCTGCTGCAATTGTCCTCTGCAAAACAATGTTAGGTGAATCTGCAGCAAAGTTGATTAGTTCTGTCCCCCTATCTAATAATACAATTCAAAGAAGAATTACTGATATGTCTGCAAATATTGAAGAAACACTATTTACAAGGCTGTCTACAAGTGACAAGTTTGCATTGCAACTAGATGAGAGTACTGACATAGCAAGTAAGTCATCTATGTTGGTTTTTGTCCATTTTATATGGGAAAAACAGTTATTTGAAGATTTTTTGTTTTCATGCGAGCTCCTACATACTTCGGCAAAAGATATATTTGAAGCTATTGATAAGTTGTTTACAGAGCATGGCATTTGGTGGGAAAATATGCGTTTGAATAACCACTGATGGTGCAGCAGCAATGTCAGGTTACAAAACTGGATTGTTGGGTCGTGTGAAAGAAGTTGCAC